ACTCGCCAAGTTCATGCGAAAACCCACAACGGCTAATCTTCACCGAATTCACTGAGTTGACGATGCAACTTGTTGAGTCCCTCCACTCCATTTCCCATTTAGATGTTTTTAAGCTACCCCAAAGCTCCAAATTGTAGATCCAACTTCCTGAGGCACAAATTCCACGTAAAGCTGCAAACTTTACATGCATGTAAGGTCTTAAAGGCTTAGAACACCAAAACCAAGCCTATAATGAGAGTTATGGCATGGTGAGAGGTCAATACGAGATAAAGTTGATAACTCTATGAATTTGGTACCTGGAGGAGTTCAAATCTGAAGTTACAACTTTAGATCATGGCCAATACCCGAAATGGCTCACATATATGCTAAAAATGACCCTAAACTTAAGCATGGAGAGATCTATCTAGAGGGAAGTCAAGGTAACGAATTGTTACGTTCAAAATGATGCCAAGATGAGGTAGAGTCAGATTCACAAGCTCTTCAGGAGTCACTTAATATGGGCTAAAACATGTTATGGGCTTAAGGTAAGGCCCATTAAAGGGATTAGGCCTAATAGAGCAAATTAGGCCATTAGTGGGCCACTAGTGGGCTTAGGAAGCTTACCTAGTATTGGGCCTTGTGAATCATGGTAGTGGACCTTGGATATGTATCAAGTTTGACTAGGAGGGGTAGAAAGGTCATTCTACCCTATGAAGGTTTATTGTATTGGACTAAGTGATGTTTTGGTATTGATAGGTCGGAGAGCCGAAGGAGCAGCCATTCGGGAACTGTCAGATAGCAACCAGAGGGATATCAACAAGGCTTCAGCAGTGCAAGGTGAGTTTTCTCCAGTAGGAACAGGTCTAAGGCACCAATGCCAGCCTGTTTATGTGTGTTAGTGAATACCGGATTTAGATCTGATCTCAGGCGAGGCCCGAGGAAGGTTTATATATATGTTTCTGAGCTACGATTCGATGCCGACTGGTAGCTGTAACGCCCGCAGATCCGAGCTAGTCAATTTAGAGGCAATAGGGGTTGAAAATGACTTTTTGACAAAAGATTATTTACCAAGTTGTAGAATATGTTACAAGGTTTCCGTGCATATAAAGAGCATCGAAATCCGAGTTATAACGAAGAAGTTATGGCCTGTCAAAGTTTTACGACGGAACTGACACAGCACCGAGAACCGTAAATAGTGAATTTACGATAGAACGAGATTTATCCTTAGCGATCTAAACTAAAGTCACAGAATACATTAAAACGAGAGCGTCCATAAAAATAACGCCCAAATCTGACTTCGTATGAGGAAGTTATGAATTTTCTAAGAATCGGCTTAGCAGTGTACGACCCGAAACTCGAATTTTAGTTCGAGCGGTTTTTGACTTACTCGACCTAAATGAGAGTTTAATATATCATTAATAGGAACTTAACAGTAAAAAGACGGACGAAAACGGAGTCCGTATGAAGGAGTTACGAATTCTTCGCGGTCATTTAACAGTTTAAACGCCTCCTACTGTTAAATTTGAGATCGGTCGAGACTTAGCCGACCAAGTCTAAATGAAAGTTGTAGATCTTGATTTTACCTACGCGTTGTAAAAACGAATGTTGAAAATGGAGCTCGTATGCGAGAGTTATGATTTTTCTAAGTTTGAAGGCTGATACGCGATAGGGGGTGACGTGGCACCACCAGAATTGGACACGTGGCACCACCAGAAGGCCACCACATGCACAAACTCGGCGAGTAGGCCTCCCTACTCGGTGAGTCCATCAGATGTTTTCACTATAAATAGAGGTGCTGGGTCTAGCCTCTTCTTCAAACCTCCCAAACTCCTTTCTAAACTCTCTCTCTAGTCTCCCTTAAGCCTCCTAAAGTCTAGGTAAACCCCCTAGCACCCGAAGGAAGCCCCGCAGCTCCCGAAGTCCCAAGAAAAGAGTCTTTCGGCTCGGAAACGCTGCTCCAGCGAATCCCGGTTTTGCGAAAAATCCGCTGTAAGTGAGCTATGCCTACCCTATCTTTTGTATAGCTTATGTTTTAATATAGTAACGTTATTAGGGAATTATAACGAGTATTTGGGATATTATTATGAGTTATAAAAGAGTGTTTCTTAACTCTTATATAATAGAAATAATATCTAGACTATTAATTAGTCGCGGTTAACGTTAGACTAAACTCTAGTGGTAATGATACTAGGTTTTGTCTGAGGGAAATTGTTTTAACAGTAACGAAGTGCTGTCCGAGTACCGAGTCATCACCTTATCAGGTGAGTGTATAGTTACTTTAATCTCACACATAGATATGAAGTATTTTATATAAATTACGTTCTATGTGTGCATATTATCTGAGTACTTGTTTTCTATGCTAAATGAACGATTTTATACATGTTTTAAATGATTTAAACTGTATATGTACTTTATATCTACGATAATGTTGGGTAAACATGGGTAGATATATGTGACATCCCCTAATTTCTAGGCCAGAAAAGACCGATTTAATTTATGCTTTTTAAAATAAAATCAGAGAAATCTTTTTAAAAGATGTTGCGGAATTGGTCCCCAAACAAAATATGATAAAAGTTTATCAAAACCCTTCATTAAGAAGGTATATGTTTTCCGTATATATATATATATATATATATATATATATATATATATATATATATATATATATATATATATATATATATATATATATATATATATAAACCTCGGGATGTCATGTTTCGATACAGATCAAAAGCATAAACAAGACATTATAAGCCTTTCAACAGTTATTTACAACTACTGGACTATAATCCAAAAATCTCTCTTCATCCTCCGACTATGCTCATGGTCCACTACCTGTAACATAAAAAACTAAGTGGGTCACGCTTGGGAGCCTGGTGAGCATATAGGGTTTTCAACCCACAATAATAATAAACTTACTAAGTTCATCAATCAACAATAACCCTGATTACCCGTTCCTGTTATCCTCACTTTACGTCCCTAAACACTTATCATAAGAGACCTAGCCTAAAGAATATCACTGGGATGGACACTACTGCTAAGGGGTTTCCTCAGCCATACATGTCCTAAAGGCAACCATGAGGGGGATGGAGTACAGCGAATGAACACTCTTAGTTCATTAACACCTACAGGTTGCAGACTTGCTAATGTTTCCCACTGGACTGTCTAGAGAGTCCGTGGTCGTCATCCAAACTCCGCTAGATGATTGGATTTCAAAACACATAGAGGCCTCTCATCAATTTTATTTTATCACACATCACTATCTACCCATGTTCTACCAAACATATTTGTAGATAAAAATACTTA